CACCTCCCCCAGTGCCACGAACGCCTGCCCCAGGAAGTCCTGCACCCCAAGCACAGCATGTCAGACCCTGGGGGTTCCTGCCACAGCCCCCCATACCCGCCCTTTGCCCTCCCAATGTGCCTATGGGACCTACAGCCACCCAGCCCCAGGGCCACCCCAAGTACCCTGAACGCATCCTGTGCCCCGGGAGCCACCCCTCTGCCCAGGACCCATCCTGCACCCGCCAGGACCACCCCAGGTGCCCACTCCATGTGCTCTGGGCCCACCCTGTGCCCCCTGGGCCCTCCCACAGCCCTGGACCCACCCTGTCCCCCAAGAGCCACCCCATGTGCCCTGGACCCATCCCTCCAGAGCCACCTTGCATGCCCTGAACCCATCCAGCACCCTTCGGGCCACCCTACACCCGTACCCATTCTGCACCCCCAAAGCCGCCCCTGTGGTGTGCCTTGGCCTCATCCTGCACCCTGTCCCACCAGGCATCCCCACAAGGGATGGGTTCCCGGGCCATAGCAGGGGCTGGTGCATAGCTGGCACCTACCTTCTGCCAGTCCCCATGGGGCACGGAGAGATGGAGAGTGGGTTAGAGCCCTCTGAGGGGCACCTGTACCCCCCCCCCAACAGCACCCATACAGGCCATGGCCTCAGGGTGCCCCACCAGGGTGTCACACTGGGGCATCACCACGCATCCCCCCAGCATGGGCTGTGCTCACCTGCTTTAAAATGGAGCAGCTCTTGGAGTCCACGTTGTAGCTGGTGGTGGGAGAGCAGAGCCCTGAGCAGGTGAACGCAGGGGTGCCCTGGCACACAGCCCTGCTTCCCTGCCCGTCTGGGCTTTTTGCCACTGTATCCTTATTTATCATCATTATTTATCATCCTTATTTATTATCATCATTTATTACCGACTTGGCACTTTGTTCCACCCCGAGCGGGGCCGAGCCCTTCCCCAGCCATCCTACTCACACGTCGAAGCGGAGGTTTTGCTTCTCCTCGAAGTAGTAGTCGAGGACAAACTTGCGGACAAAGTCGGGGTTCAGGGTGTTGTCGATCACCTCGGTGCGCCCAAACTGTGTGGAGAGGGGTGAGGGCAGGCCCCCCCCCGGACCCCTCCCGATCGCAGCTGCCCTGGCATTAATCCCAGTGGGGGATTAGCGCTGCTGGTGGGGCCAGATCATTAGCGTGGACGCAGAGGGATCATTAGTGTGGACGTGAGTGGCCATATGGGCCTGTTTAACCCGGCCGGGGATTAGCCAGGAGCAGGGACACAGGAGGTGGCAGCACCCCTGACACGGGGCTGGGAGCCTCCCCAGGCACCTGGCAAGAGGGGCTGAGCTTACCTCCTTCCACTCGCTGCTCCCTGAGCCCTGCACGAAGAGGACCACCACTGCGGAGAGAGGAGCAGAGCCAGGCTGCTGTGCCATGTCTGTACCATGCTGTGCCCGTGCCGTGCCATGCCGTGCCCCCTGCCCAGCCCTGCCACCCACCTGGGTCAGACTTGGAGAAGGTGTCCATGTCCAGCAGGTTCCTGGGGGGAAAGACCCAGGTGTGAGCCACCCTGGATGCCACCCACCCAGCCCCACAGCGGGTCCCCACGTTCCTCTCCCTGATCATGGGACAGCACCATGCCAGAAGGCTGTGCTGGCACCCGGGGCCAAGAGCCCCGGCACTCTGAGGTGACATGCTTGCTCCCACCGCAAGGTTCGGTGGGACAGCAGGGCGAGCAGGGAGCAGCATCTCTAGTGCTGACGATGATTGAACATGACAGGGAACCCATTTAGAAGATGAAACCTTTCCCTGTGCCGCCGGCGCCGGCTGAGTGCCCGCCGCACCCCGTCAGCAGGAGCGTGGCTAATGGCGGGGCGCAGAAGTGAGAAGAAAGGAGACACTTAGAGCAAGGGCTGGGCAGCTGGCGGGGACCAGCTCTGTGCCCTCGACACAGCCACCGGCAGAGCGATTGATAGTCATCTTGTGCACGGTGTGACACCGGAAAGTGCTGGGGGCTGCCACCGGCTCCGCTGGGATCCTTTCCACACAGGGTGGGCTGAGGCGTGGCTGGGGGCTGCAGGGCTCAGCCAGCTCTCCTGGCCCCAGCACGCAGGGCAGAGACTCCCCCCGCCAGGGTCCTGAATGGGGCTGAGCCCTTGGGGGGCTGCGAAGCCGAAGCCTGACCCTGCCCTGGGCCATCTCCAGGAGTGAACCCCAGCCCCTACCCCGAGTTGCCAGGCCCC